TTTTTGGTCGATCTCAAAATTATACCTCATATTCCAATTCACAATGTACTGTATACAATCTTTAAAATCTCACACGTATCACAATAAAAAATATTTCCATAATAACCATGTAATTCGAATACATAATTGCATATAATTACACATACTTCAACAATAAACTTAATTTATAAATAATTTAAAAATATTTATATTTTTTCACTCACAGTACTATGTTCACAAAATCAACCCAGTTGGATTTTTTCCATTTTTGGTTCTTTTTCGTTTCTTTTCTCTTGAATTCCACCACATTCATCAATCTAGTCCTACAAAACATAATTACATAGAATTAAGCAAAAATTCAAACTCTTTTATCATAATTAAGTCATGTTTCTGAACTAAATAAGTGTGTAAAAACACACTTATCAAAACCAATGGACAATTTTGTACCACCAAAAGTATGGCAACTTCAAACATCGACGTATACAACAAGCAAGGAAAATTTAATGTGAAAAAATAATTTCATTTAAATCATAATCAAATAAAGACTAATGAAATACGGTACTTAGTCACTCTACAATTACTAATGTGCGCTTCTAAGGCATAAAAGAAATCAATAATACGACAACATTTAAGTCCAGCTTCCCACAGCAAAAGTACCTCTAAACAAAATATCAATGTTGTAAAACCTAGCCCAGTCGGTTCAACCTAGAAAACTGGGACCGTCCCAAATTTTGGCTGATTCAACTTATAAAATCTCTAATTAAAAACTCTCCCAATAACCCGTTAAACTAGTTGACCTTTAAAAATTCTGTGACCACTCCCAGTTTAGCTGGGTTACATAGTTAAAACTTAAAATCAAAAAGTTAAAACCTTTGACATTTAAAGTTGAAACCTTATTTTTACAACAATCGTTTCGTCTATACTATGCCGTATCAAATATTCAAAACACATTTTCTTTTTCGTTGAAATCTCTTTACTTATTGATTCTACATTCTAGTTTTTGGACTGATTATGTTCTTCAAGTATTAGGTTACAAAGGTTTGTTGTTCCGAAGATTGACTTTCTCGTAGTACAATTGATCCATGTATTAATATGTCAGACAGTGCACAAAACCTGAGATGGGTCTTTGCTTATAATTTGTTTTGCAATTAAATATAGTTCACATATCTCATATGATTGTTCTTTACTTAACCTTGTAGAATTATTGTTGGATAACCCATTAAGAAAAAAATGATTCAATCATAAAAATTTGATTTGTAATAAAATTTTATTATTGCTCTATTTTTTTCAGACTATTTGTTTGATGAGTTTTAGGACTACAATTAGTACTTTGTATCGAGATTCATTGTTTGAAGATGTCTCTTGTGGTTTATAATCAAACTCTGACTCAAAATATACAAGGACCGACATCTTTTTAATTGTCGTTCTTCCTTTGAAATTGGTTTCAACTATGTTAATTTCACAGACTAGACAAATTATTTGGTCGAGTATTGGAAGAGAAAACTTATACATGCACCTTTTGGATATTACTATTTGTACTTTTTCTTTGCAACATATTATATTTTCCAGGATTTGTTGGCATATTCTGATTTTTCTCAATCCAGTGAAGAATAGAGAATCTACGTAATAGGCCTCTACAATTTGTGATCTAGTTCCTATTGATTCTACGGCATGTAAATTTATGTGAGCTCCTTTGTCAATTTTCCAACATGCATATACATAACATGTAATTATTGCATAATTTTATGGTTAGGAAGAATTTTTTGATGCTTTCAAATTGTGTGTGAGGTAGAATTGGAGGAAATTTATTGGTATTGTTAAATTTTGAGTTTATAAACATTTCTATTGAATGATTTGACTCCGATAATCTAATTTTACTCATATTTCCTTTTTCACTATTTTATTAATTGAATTTCGAACAATTTTTTTCGAACAATTTTTTTCATTTGTCGCTTAAATAGTGGATATATGTAGCGAACAAAAAAAATTAATTTAAAATGCCAAAGGTTATGAAATGCCAAAAGACTTTGCATTTATTTCTCACAAAAAATACATTGAAATGAAACCTATTATGAAATGCCAAAAGACTTTACATTTGTTTCTCACATAAAATACATTGAAATGAAACTTAAACAATTATTCTCTTAAATGTTCAATGAAGGGCTACCAACATTTTTTTTAAAAGGCCAATTGGATTTTACATTTCACCTTTTCCAAGTCATTTATACCCTCCGTCCATTTATACATATGCATAAAATTGTTTTGCCCCTTTTCCCTAGTCTAAGGCATTTTGAATCTGAAATTTTTCTAAAGAGGAGGCAAAAGGTACGTTGAATTTTTAGATTTTGAACACAAAAGGGTATTTAAACTTCAAGCATTAAGGTAGGGGTGTTGTCGGCACTTGTGTAAGTGGTTTAAGAATTATTTGTTTTCATTTTGCATCTAACTTATTGTTCTGTCACTCATGAAGGAGGCACCGTTTGGTGGCTCAAATAAGAGAAAGAGATTGAAGGTAACACTATTATTGAGTTACTCATGAAGGAAGCACCGTTTGGTGGATCAAAAAAAGAGAAAGAAATTGACAGTGACACGAATAATCTAAGTTTGCATTTCTAAAAACATATATGTATTTTATCATTTACTCTAGTGTCTTCCTACTGAGTATTATTCGTAGTACTCACACCCACTACAATCTCAAAGGTTGATTTGAGGTATGGCGGCGGTTTGGCATAGTGGCCAGTGTTCAGCAATCTAAAAAGCTTTCAACTTTCTAGTAAAATTTCCAATTTATGTGTAAAATTTCCAATTTATGTAAACGTATTATGAATAATTAGACAGCACTTTTAAAGACGTTTAAACATCTGTGTTGCTCAGTTTTATATGCTATTCATGTCGAGCATAATTTGGAAGCATTGGTATGTCTAAGACCGAAGTTTATTCACGGCTGATTATAATTCCAGATTCTGTCTTCCATTTGAAAATGGTATAATTTGGACTACATATTTTGGACTAAAATTAGTGTTGTTTGAAAGGTCTATGAGTCTTCTTATAGTAGCCTTTGGAATTTCCTTAAAACATTAGCTAGATAAAAAGTTATGTCTATTTTGGTAAACTGCGTCGTTTCAAATCCGGGTTTTCTGTCCAGCATGTTCGAGCAATATTTTCATGCTTCAATCGTTATTATCAAGCCCCCAAGTTTTTATATGTGGTACATATATGAATTCTTTAGTCCCTGTAAAAATTTCATAAATTTTAACAAACATTTGCGAGGCCAAATATATTTTTCTTCTGCTGTTGTTCAATCTGAAATTGCTGAATCGCCTCCAAATGTTTTCCAAAACCAAATTTTGCCATAATTTTATAAGTTTATATGAATAAATACTTCCCATTATATTTTTATATATTTTAAAAACCTAAAAAATTTCTAATTTACAAATTAATTTGGTTAACATCAAAGGGGTCGAATCAAAGAAATATCGATTATTTTTAACGCTTTGGGTTTTGAGAATTCGGGGCATTACAACTTGGTATCAGAGCAATGGTTCATTTACTGTAGATTGACATTGGAAAGTAAATCATAGAAGTGTGTGTCACATATAAGTTGAACAAATTTTTTTTCTAATGAGGATCCTAAGCACTATACCTACCATGCTGCGCCATGCAAATTTTGAGGTAAAGAAAGCCTCACAAATGTGATTACATCTATGCAATGATTATGAGAAAGTTTATTTGAGATGCAATATTTGAAATGTATGTATGAATTTCAGCATATAGTTTGAATACTTTTTGTAGATAATTAGTAATGTACCAAGTATTTTTTTAGAGCGTGATGAGATTAAATGTTTGTTTTAGTCCTCGAGAATTAACTAAAATTTATTAGACACCCACTTATAGGATTTTGAATAATTGGTATGACTCAGATGGTACGGATTAAGAAAACTTGTAGGAAGACGAGTTCATCGATGCTTTATCGATATGAGATCTTGAGGCAATATGAAGAGTATCGATCGAATCCAATGCATAACATGGGCCAACACATTTGAGAGATGTTAGTAAGATGGAGGGAAGTGAGATAGTGTACATTGCCAGAAGAGTGGCTAGAGGTGACCGAATCGATTTATAATTATTTATGGGAGGTTGCTGTGCCTACCTTACCTTAAGAGATTAATTATGTGGCATTCTGCATAGAGCTAATTGAGCGGTGGGAGCTGGCCCAACTTGAGATCCCCGAGGACGATAGTGTACCTATCGAGATGCACATTCATGAAGATGCACTCCACCTATTTTGGATTATGAGGTTAGTTTTCTAAGAAACCTAGGATTCATGGAGGCTGGATTAATGATTATGATAGCAATGATGAATAAGTGAATTTTAGTAGTTTTTATCAGGTTTAATTGTTGTTGATGTTTAGGAGGATTTCTTTTATGATGCTGTGGAATAGCTCCAGACGCTATTTTACTATCTTTTTTTGGTCTCCCGAAGGATTTGTATGAGACAATAATAAAGGATGTTGAATTATGAATCTTTTTCCTATATTGCACAAATATCGTTGGCTCCTTTAAATGAGATTGCAATTATTCTGGCGTATAAGAATATGGCACAAGCGAGGACAATTAGGGAGTTAAGGCGGGAGATTGATGAGTTGAGATAGGCCTTGGCTGCTCAAGTTACACCTCCAACACGTCAGGCTGCTTAGGTTACACCTCCAGCACCTCAAGCTTCATTAGTTCCACGAGCTCCGCTGGTGCCACTAACATACCCGGTTGTACCGCCTGTTCCGATAGTAGAACAATTTTGTAGATACCGACCACCTACCTTTGATGGTAGAAAGGACCCTGTAGCAGTTGATGAGTGGTTGTGTACTATGGAGAAGATGTTTTGGCACATCTCTTACCCAAAAAATCAGAAAGTATTATGTGCAGAGTTTATGCTAATTGGTAGAACAGGCCATTGGTGGGAATCCACATCACACACTCGCACCGAGGAGGAACAACGTAACTTAACGTGAGATCAATTCAAGATGGAGCTAATAGAAAAGTTTTTCCCACAAGCTATGCTAGACCACAAAGAGACGGAATTCGTAAGACTGGTACAGGGAGATATAGAACTTTCTAAGTATGAGAGAAAATTTGAGGAATTGTCCTGATATGCCCCATATCTTGTAAGTACAGAGCTCATGAAGGCAAAATGTTACGAGAGGGGCATGTACCCAAAGATTAGGTAGATTGTGAGTTCACGTGATCTCACCACTTTTCAAGCAGTAGTAAAGAAAGCTTAAATAGTGACCTACTCGGGGGGTGAAGCCGGTAAATCAAGGACAACGTAAAGACTTTAGGAAAAAGTAGTGGTAGGACAAGAATAAGAATACATGACAGTTTAAGAAGCAAATGCATGTAGGCCAGTCAAGCAATCCTATATCTCAATGTCCTAAGTGCAACAAGTTTCACAAAGGAGAATGGTCAACCTGGCCATGTGGCTTCTTCATGCCCATCAATCAAGAAACCTAAACAAGAGAAAAAGGGAAAAGCAAGGGTGTTTGCTTTAACTCACGAGGAGGCTGCTAAAAATTTGGACGTGATTGCATGTATTTTATCCGTCTCTAATATTTCTGTTTACATCCTAATTGATTCCGGTGCGACACATTCGTTCATATCTAATGTATGTCTAGCTAAGATTAATGCTTCATGTCAGAAGAATGCTAGTGTACTGGAGGTTAGTATGCCATCAGGTGGAACTATTGATACGAATAGGATAGCAAAAGGGGTACAGATAGATTTTGATGGACTGACTTTAGAGGCTGACTTGTATGTTATAGAGATGAAAGATTTTGATATTTTTTTAGGTATGGACTGGTTGGGTGAGAATCGAGCCATGATAGTATGTTTTGAGAAAGAGGTAATTTTTCGAAGACTGGGAGAAGAGGAGTTCTGATTTTATGGATCGAGGATTAAGGCACTTCCTCGAGTTGTCTCAGCTTTAAAAGTAGATAGCATGTTGAGAAAATTGACTGTCAAGGATATCTTGTCAGTCTTAATAGCACATCCACTTAAGAGAAAGTATTAAGAGATATGCCAATAGTACGAGAGTATGTTGACATGTTTCCTGAAGATCTACCGGTTACTCCGCCCAATAGATAAGTGGAGTTCACACTAGATATGATACTCCGAGCTACCCTTGTGTCCAAAGCTCCATATGAATGGCACCAAAGAAATTACAAGATTTGAAGATGCAGCATGAAGAACTTCTAGACAAAGGGTTCATTAGACCAAGTGTATCTCTATGGGGAGCTTCGGTACTCTTTGCAAAGAAGAAAGATGGCACTATGAGGATGTGCATCGACTACCGTGAACTAAATAAGTTGAGGATTAAGAATAAGTATCACCTTCCTAGGATTGAGGACTTATTTGATCAGTTGAAGGGTGCATCCATGTTCTCAAAATTTGATCTAAGGTCAGGCTATCATCAGTTGAAGATCAAGTCGACTGACATACCAAAGACAGTATTTAGGACCTGATCTGGGCATTATGAGTTTACAATGATGCCCTTTGGCTTGACGAATGCCTCTGCGGTGTTTATGGACTTGATGAATAGAGTGTGCTATCGATATTTGGACATGTTTGTCATCGTATTTATTTATGACATATTGATATATTCGAGAGATTCTCATCAACATGAAGAACATCTGAGGATAGTTTTAGAAACACTGCATGAGCTAAAGTTATATGCCAAATTCAAGAAATGTGAATTTTGGCTAGATCGAGTTGGATTTCTAAGCCATACTATTTTAGCACAAGGAATTGAAGTGGATCAGTCCAAAGTTGAGGCTGTGACCAATTGGCCGAAACCTACAAATGTTGGAGAAATGCGGAGTTTTTTGGGTTTAGCCGGTTATTATTGAAGATTTATAGAAGGATTTTCCAAGATAGCGAGTCCTATGACGCAATTGACTCGGAATGGTACTAAGTTCGTATGGTCAGAGAAATACGTGCAGAGTTTCCAAGAGTTAAAGGACAAACTCGTATATACACCAGTGTTGACTATTCCAGACGGTTTGAAAGGTTTAGTGAATTATAGTGATGCATCCAAGCTTGGATTAGGATATGTTTTGATGAAACATAGGAAAGTCATTGCTTATGCTTCGAGGCAATTGAAGCAATATGAACAGAATTACCCTACACATGATCTCGAACTAGCAGGGGTAATGCATGCCTTGAAGATTTGGTGCCACTACCTATATGGAAGCAAGTGTGAGATTTATACCGATCACAAGATTCTCAAATACTTCTTTATCCAGAAAGAGTTAAATATGACAGCAACGGTGGTTAGAATTGGTGAAGGATTACAACTGCACTATCTTGTACCATCCGGGTAAGGCCAATGTAGTCGCTGATGCGTTGAGTAGAAAGAACATGGGACAGTTGTCAATACTTTGTACGAGACAGGATCATTTAGTTAGAGATTTTGAGAACATGAGAATTAAAGTTTTAACGTCACCAGTAAGGACGTCAACGATGTTAGCAAGTTTTACTGTGAAATCGACATTTAGGGACAGAATAGTAGCTACTCAGAAAGATGAGCCCTTTTTGAAAAAGAAATGAACTGAGAAGAGGAAAGGATTTGAAATAGCTTAAGACAAATCCTTAATGTCTAAGGGTCAATTGTGCATGTCGAAGGATGAAGTATTGAGGAATGAGATTATGACTGAAGCTCATTCTACTCCTTATGTCGCACACCTAGGTGGAACTAAAATGTATAAAGTTTGCGTGATAGATTTTGGTGGAGAAATATGAAGGGAAATATAGCTTTGTTTGTGTCAAAATGTATGGTTTGTCAATAAGTAAAAGCTGAACGTCAGAGACCTTCAAAGCCATTGAATCCTATGGACATACCCGAATGGAAGGGGAAAAGATTGCAATGGATTTTGTCGTTGGTTTTCCTAGATCAGTGAGAGGTCATGACGCGGTCTGGGTTATTGTGGATCAACTTACAAAATCTTCTCATTTCTTGCCAATTCGGACAACCTATAGTTTAAAACAGTTGGCACAGATTTATATCAGAGACTTCATGGTGTTCCAGTTTCTATTGCATCGGACAGAGAACCAAGGTTTACTTCGAAGTTTTGGATAAACCTTCAAAAAGCTATGGGTACCAAGTTAACATTTAGTATTGCATACCATCATCAGACTGACGGACAATCTGAACGAACTATCCAAATACTTGAAGATATGTTGAGAGCTTGTGTCCTAAATTTAGGTGGTAAGTGGGAAGACCATTTGCTGTTAGTTGAATTTGCATACAACAATAGCTTCCAAGCTACTATTGGCATGGCACCATATGAGGCTTTGTATGGTCGTTGATGTCGTTCGCCATTATATTGGGACGAAGTTGGTGAAAGGAAAGTTCTAGGTCCAGAATTGGTTGAGAAGACTGTGGAGGCTATACATAAAATTAGATCAAGAATTAAGACCGCCCAAGATCGTCAAAAGAGCTATGCTAACAAAAGGAGAAAAGAATTGACTTTTGAGGTTGGAGAGAAAGTATTTCTCAAAGTGGCACCAATGAAAGGAATACTACGATTTGGGAAGAAAGGGAAATTGAGTCCAAGATTTATTGGTCCATTTGAGATTCTTGAAAAAATTGTGAATGTGGTATATATCGTTTAGCATTGCCACCCGAACTATCAGCAGTGCACAACGTATTTCACGTTTCTATATTGATAAAGTACATTTCAGATCCTAACCATGTGGTGAATGTTCAAACACTAGATGTTCAAAGTGATATGACGTACGAAGAAGTTCTGTAGTGATTCTAGAGAGAAAAAACCATGTTCTGAGAAATTGAAAGATTCCATTAGTCAAAGTCCAGTGGAGTAGACATAGTGAGAGTGAGGCCACTTGGGAAAGGGAAGAAGACGTTTTAGCCAAGTATCCCGAACTCCTTAAACAAGTAAGTTAAATTTCGAGGACCAAATTATTTTAGGTGGGGAGAGTCGTAGCGACCAAAATAAAAAATCTTAAAATGCCAAAGGTTATGAAATGCCAAAAGACTTTACATTTATTTCTCACATAAATACATTGAAATGAAACCTAAACAATTATTCTCTTAAATGTTCAATGAAGGGCTACCAACATTTTTTTTTAAAGGCCAATTGGATTTTACATTTCACTTCTTCCAAGTCATTTATACCCTCCATTTATACATATACATAAAATTGTTTTGCCCCTTTTCCATAGCCTAAGGCATTTTGAATCTGAAATTTTTCTAAAGAGGAGGCAGGGAGTATGCTGAATTTTTACATATTGAACACAAAAGGGTATTCAAACTTCAGGCATTAAGGTAGGGGTGTTCTCGGCACTTGTGTAAGTGGTTTAAGAATTATTAGTTTTCATTTTGCATCAAACTTATTGTTGTGTCACTCATGAAGGAGGCACCGTTTGGTGGCTCAAATTAGAGACAGAGATTGAAGGTAACACTATTATTGTTTTACTCATGAAGGAAGCACCATTTGGTGGTTCAAAATAAGAGAAAGAAATTGACGGTGACACGAATAATCAAAGTTTGCATTTCTGAAAACATATATGTACTTTATCATTTACTCTAATATCTTCCTACTGATTATTATTCATAGTACTCACACCCACTACAATCTCACAGGTTGATTTGAGGCATGGCAAGGGTTTGGCATAGTGGCAAGTGTTCGGCAATCTGAAAAGCTTTCAACTTTCTAGTAAAATTTCCAATTTATGTAAACGTATTATGAATAATTAGACAGTACTTTTAAAGATGTTTAAACATCTGTTTCGTTCAGTTTTATATGCTATTCATATCAACCATAATTTGGAAATGTTGGAATGTCTATGATCGAAGTTTATTCACGGCTGATTATAATTCCAGATTATGTCTTCCATTTGAAAATGGTATAATTTGGACTACATTGCATATTTTGGAGTAAAATCTGTGTCTTTTGAAAGGTCTATGAGTCTTCTAATAGTAGCCTTAGGAATTTCCTTAAAACATTAGCTAGAGAAAAAGTTATGTCCATTTTGGTAAAATGCGTCGTTTTAAATCCGGGTTTTCTGTCCAGCATGTTCGAGCAATATTTTCATGCTTCAATCGTTATCATCAAGCCCCCAAATTTTTATATGTGGTACATATATGAATGCTTTAGTCCCTGTAAAAATTTCATAAATTTTAACACATATTTGCTAGGTCAAATATATTTTTCTTCCACTGTTGTTCAATCCGAAATTGCTGAATCGCCTCCAAATGTTTTCCAAAACCAAATTTTGCCATAATTTTATAAGTTTATATGAATAACTACTTCCCATTATATTTTTATATATTTTCAAGATCCAAAAACTTTCTAATTTACAAATTACTTTGGTTAACATCAAAGGGGTCGAATCAAAGAAATATCGATTATTTTTAACGCTCTGGGTTCTGTGAATTCAGGGCGTTACAATATATGACTTGATACACAATATAATGAAATTTCATTTTTTTTTTTATCTAATATGTTTACTCCAAATTGTTTCTTGTAAAATGTAAATGTTCCTGCAACAATGCTTAATATTTCAGATTGTAATACTAATACAACTATAGTGCTTTTATTTAGGATGGATAGCAACTAATCTTTCAAAAAGCTATTTATAGCTTCCAACAATTCTACCCATGCAAAGACTTATCACAGATCACTTTTCCATGATATTGACGGTTAAGTTCGTTTCACGTGTTTTTATTACAACAATAGCTTAAAGGTAGGGGACTTGACAGAATGAAGTGTAATCTTGTTGGAATTAAAGGTCAAATATCTCATTGTAAAAAAGTTCATTTTGATCTTGGATTTAAATTTCAAGGAATTTTTAGGGATTTTATCGAGAAAGAAACAAGATGCTAAGGAGGCTCGTGACAGTACTTTTGAGGACAATTCT